TGTACTGCTTTGTCTACATTGAGTTGAGCCAATCTCATAAAAAGTACAGGAAAGCTTAATGCTTATTAAATCATGTTTCTCTTCCACAGGTTCTTGTACGAACCTTATGTTTGTCGCTCTACCGAGTAAGCTGCATGTCCCTATTCCTGATTGCTTCAGGTATTTTTTGCCATGGTGATTGTTCTCAATTGAAAACATTGTTAGTAAGAGGCTTCTAATTCTGCTTCCTTTGAACCTTGCAGGCCCTACCTCATTTTTAGAACTGAGCCTGCTAAAATCCACTAGAAGTTGAACAGATTTTCAAGGGAAATGCCCTCAAAGAGTCTAAAATGATTCACCAATTGTTCCCATATCTAGCTCAAAAGTTTGAAGGGAATTATTTTTGAAAGCCACTCTAACTGATGTAATTCCTGTTCTTGAAATTCAGCAGGCCCTTTAAGGTAGGACTTGGAGCTTCTTGTTGCAGCTATTGTACTGGAATTCATCACCTCTGTTAACAAGGCCTCAGCCTAATCCGTCCACAACAGAACCTTCTTTGAGAGTTTCTCTTTGTGGGTGTTCATGTGCTTATTTTAGAAGTGGCTTTTTTCAGGGCTCTCTTGCCTCTCTGTCCCTTGGGTTAAATATGGATGAGTTGTTTGTATTTAGGGTGTGCAGTGTCGTTGTATGTTCCTTTTACTTGATCATCTTCCGAGGAGAAGAGCTAAAAGTTGACTCTTCTGGTGACAAGAGTGTGAAAGTGGTTCCTCACAACTCGATACATTATTGCCAACCGGTGACATTATCGGTGCGTGTTGGGTTACAAAACCAAGCCGTGTGAATTAGTGTTGATCCATTTCTCTTCATGGGCGTTTCAGCGTGTTTCCTTTTCCCGGGAACAGAGTTATTTGGAGCAGATGTGGAGCTGAGGGCTGATGCAGGCGAGGCTGTGCAGGACCCGACAGCCACGTGCGGATGCCTGAGGGACCACGGAGACAGAGGGAAGCTCTTCCCGTTGCTGGCAGGTGGAAAACAAGGCCACAAACTGCGACTGCAGAGCTTCAGGCGGGACACTTATTCCCCAGAGGGGCAGTGCAGGGGCAAAACAGTTTTGCAGATCCCTCTCCTGGCAGCCCTGCCCGCACTGCTGGGCAGTGCCTGCTGGCACCCGGGGCTTGAAATCGCTTAAACTCCTGCTCGCTGGGACCTCGTTGTTAGTCGTGGGTCCCTTGTACCTGAGCGCTGTTGTGTTGAGGGCTTTCCTGGAACAGGTTGTCCCTGAGCTTGGTCAGGGCGGTGCTCCTGCGGAAGCGTGTCCCGCTTGTCCCTCGTTGTGTCTCCGAGGCCGGAGCCCCGCAGCACCTCCGCCCCAGGCTCCGGGTGCCGGCGGAAGGGGCGGGGAGCGGCAGCGGGATGGGGGCCGGAGCCGGGAGC